ATCAGAACACAATGTGCAACATGTGGTCTTGCATTATCTTGTTGGGATACGGGATTTGGAGGCATCGAACATGGGCCACAACCACTGGACGTAAGATGTCAGAAATGTACCCATCTGCGTTCAAGTTACCATCCATCCAAACTAGAGATGTGCATGTCATCTACCCTATGGCTGTCCCAAATCTTCACACTAGGAGCAGGGCCTCTATTTTGATATCGAAGGCAAGCAGGCGACTTTCGGTCTCCTCGGACACTCCAGACACTCATACGACCATCAGAATACTGCACGTAGAACCGGGACTCATTTGAAAAGGCAACATTTTGCCACTCCTGTACCCAGCTTTGTCGTTTGGAGCACCAGAGTCGCCGCCTCTGTCTATGCTGCATTGCCAAGGAAAGCTGAAGTAATGGTCACCCTGTTGATAGTCCACGTTGCTGCAAACGTCGACGCACCATACGAGCTGATACTGGGCATGCTGCAATAATGCTCATTTCCTGATTAATGGTCCGTGATGTTGTTGTACGTTTTGCAGGGCATACCTCACAATATATCTGCCTTTTCTGGCATTAGTCATGGGAGGGCGTTGAAATCCTGTATGCCGCTCAGTATGACCCTCAGCAATCCATTGATTCCATATTTGCATGACAATGGTTGGATATTGACCAGTGCGACAGGTGATATCATGGAACGATAATCTACACTTTTGATAAGCAACAATCCTGCCTCTATCTAATTTTGAAACTTGCTGGTAAGCATTTCCTCTTCTTATTTGAGGCATACCATGATATTGTGAGCAAATTCCAACCTCACAAAGTGCTTTCCAAAAGAAAAATTCACTACACAACTTTTCATTTATGCAGTGCTTCAGATGTCGTTTCTTCCTCCAGCTTTGTCTAAATACGCTGAAAAAATAATCATTTGCATATCCCAAATTCTTCTTCCTTTCATGTGATTTTGACATTCGTCAGATCATTCGTTATTGGTGTTGCAATTTTAATGGCCAGCAGTGTAAATTAACGAACTTCCCATTGCCTTCTCTCCACAAACCTTTAGTATCCAAGAGAAACATTAAATTTAAAAACTGTGCAGAATTATCACTCTTATTTTCTGAGTGGCAACAGTGCTGATATAAACATCAATGTCAACAGTGATATATCATCAACAACGTGAGCATTTGTTGCTGATATAATGAGAGAGAATTATCAATTTGATGCAATTTCATCAAAAAACATAAAATTTAAAAAACTCATTAGAATTTTGAAAAAAAAATTGCTTCAAGGAGCACTGGCTCTTGTCTAGATGCACCTGTGTACCAAATTTTGTAGCCCTGGGTCTATTAACTTATACACAGCACAAACGAAAGACACACACAGACAGACTCTTCCCTCTATTATTATATGCAGAGATTTCTTTCAGGGAATGTTATAAAACTGTCTGACCTTTGGGCCCATAATGCTGTTTAAATGCAAACTACACTGGTGTGCAAAAATTAAGGACGAGACGATTTTTTCAATATAACTTTGTACAAAAGCTTTCCAAATCAACACATTTAATACCGTAAGATCCCCAATACATAAGGACATGAATAATGTAAGCAACACTTACTAAAAGAGAAATCAGAGGGATAAAAAGAAGCTTTATTGAAAAAGTAGCATGGAGCGCAATGCGATTGAAGGCCGAAACATCCATGTGGTGGGTGTCCAGCAAGAAACATCCGGTCTTTAATAGGGGATATGATCTCCCCTGACTGCTAGGCAGGTTTCACAGCATCTGCCCATGCTGAGAATGAGGGTGTCAATGAGTTGTTATGGCATTGTTGCCCTTTCATCTTGCAGCGCCAATCGAAGCTCCGGAATCGTTACTGGTGGTAAGGTACGAGCTGCCAAGCGTCTGCCTAGAAAATCCCATACATGCTCCATGGGATTGAGATCCGGAGATCGTGCCGACCAATCCATACGTTCAATATCCTCACTCTCTAAGAGCTGTTCGGCAGCTACTGTGCGATGACATGGTTCATTGTCGTCCATGAAAAGGAACTGCGGACCCATAGCGCCTCTAAAAAGATGCACATATGGAAGAAGAATCTCGTTAGAATAGCGGGTCTCGTTGACTGAACCTGCGTCGAAGATGTGAAGGTCTGTACGACTACCAAGCATGATGCCTTCCCAAACGAGAACACCGCCACCTCCATACCTGTCCCTTTCAATGATGTTCGAGGGATGATTGCTGCATCCCCGCTCTCTCCAGATGAGTATGCGATGAGAATCGCTACTCAGACTGAATCTGCTCTCATCTGTAAAGAGTACTCGTCCCCATTCATTGTCTCTCCAATTCCGGTGTTCCCGGCACCACAGAGAACGCCATACCGTACAGGGCATCGTGCAAACAGACCACCACCGTGCAGTCTTCTGGCCACGGTAAAATGCGATATCGGTCGTCTAGTCGCCTGTGTCGTGTGTCTAGCGATTTCTCCCGCTCTCTGCCGCCTGTTTCTTCTGGCCTGTAAGGCAATATACCGGTCATCTGTGGGTGTGGTTCCTCGTGGACGACCACTACTAACCCCCCGGATAGCTGTTCCTGTAGTTGAAATTGTCTCCAAAGTCGTGAAACGATGCTGTGAGCAATTCCGAACTCTGCAGCCATACTTGTCACACTGCGGCCTTCCTCCAACTTCCCAATGATTCGACCTCGGGCAAAAGCATCCAGATGGCGTCTAACAGAATGATTATTCGCCATTTCTCGCTGAGGCAGCAACTCGGTGTGATTTTAACTGCTATATGGCGTGCAATCTCTTTGCCAGAAATACTGATCTTACACCGACAACATGATTTATACTACTCAGACACTCCCCCATTACGTCTACCTGCATATTTGTGCATGTGCTACCGTACATCACCTTACTTAATCTCCTGATTGGTCTTTCTGTCCGCTCTGCCTCTTCGTTCATCTGATATGCTAATTTTTCGACTTCGTCCTTAATTTTTGCACACCAGTGTATGTTTACTCATGTAATTTGATTGCTGGGAGCTAAAAAAAGTATCTAAGAATTTAAGTTGTTATAATGTTGTTTTCTGAATTGCTTACTTTATGCAATTCAGTGGATCAATATAATCAGTTAAAGTTGTTTGAAAGTGACCAGACCATACATGCTACCATAAAGTTGGATTTCTAATTCATTTTTGAGTTTTTAAATTTCTAAATTAAAAATACAGAGGTGATGGATTAATTTTATCCTTATTCAGATGTCACTGAGTATGTCTTCATTTATAATTTCTAAAAATACTATTTTCTTAAAGTGATTTATTGTATCACTTAACTTGGAGCACTTAGGTTTCTCAAATTTTTTGTCAGCAGTTTTGAAATCTCCTTTTGTTTCTGATACAGTTCACAGAGTGCTTAACAGTATCTAGATTTCGGTTTGGTAATTTTTAGGCAGAAAATTTTAATCTGTAAACTGTGAACTTAAAAGAGCATTGTTTGTTAAATGTAGAGCATTGTTTAAGCATGAAAATAAATTACTGGAAGAACATAGTGGCACACTTTGCCATTATGCTGAAGAAACCACTGCTAACAATTTTGATTGTTATTTCTTTTCAATTAGAAAAGTCATATTATAAGTTTTAATAGCCATCTAGACAGTATAATGACTAGTAACGTTGATTTCCATACTGTAGGACCCAGGTTCAAATCCCAGAGAAGATGTAAGTGTATAGAGTTTACTAAGGCAACTTACCAGTTACTAATACAACCAGTTGTATCCTATTTAAGCGAAAACATATTGCTCCGTACATGTGATACTGACAGCGTGCACAGTCCCAAGGTGAGTGCGATGCTGGGTTTCTGCAATTATCTAATGATTAGGCTAAAACAGTTTTCTGTGTACATGGGTAGAACAGCAGTTTATGGATATTTCTTGCATTTTGAATTTTTTTAATTACTTACTGTTTTGTGTAATTTTTAAAATGCTATAATTTTTTTTTAAATGGCTGTTGTCTTTCGCATCTTAGCTTGGCGAAAAATTAGTCATCAATGTTTTGAAGATTTTGGGAATGTGGTGCAGATAATAAGAAAGTACTAGAGTGTACAATACGGAATAATGCTTTTTTTTAAGTTTTATGGTTCTTCTGGGCATAAAGTTTTAAATTAATTATAAGTGTTATGATATCCATCAGATTAAATAAGTGTTTATTATCACATGAAAATTTTGTCCAGTCTTTATGCAGTGGACAAGAATCCATCATTTAACATAGTAGTCTTCATGCTCAGAATGTGATAACCCCCGTCATGATGACTGTTTTCTTAAAGTCATTATTTCTGGAAGTGATTAATATATCTGAGAAAACAAACACTAGAACTGAATTTCACCTCTCTAAGACCACTACCACTGATCATGAACAGATTGGTGTCTTACAGAGGATTATAATTTTTTTTTTTTTCCATGCTTAGTCAATTTGAATGAAAACCTAGACAGGTCACTGATATATATAGTATGCAAATTTTGCAATTATCACATATACGTAACTTACGCAAATTGTACACTGGTACAGTATGTAGCACCAAATGTGATTTCAGCGCATTGTTAATAATTATGATGGTCAAATGAGAAGAAAAACAAGCCAGTGTAAACCCAAGACAGCAACCTTATGTTTGGCGTAGATTTTAATCAAATCTCTCGATTTCAAGGGCAAACAGGCACAGGTCTGTCTTCGTCAGGAGAAGGGGAAAAAACTCTTTTCCTTTTCAAATTATGATGGTATTTATTTGTATTACTTAAAATAGATTTATTAATTTTTTAAAGTTTGTTATTATTTTTATTTATTTGTTATTGTTCCGTGTTCTGAAGATGGGCCCTTCTGCTTATGATCCTCTTATTTGTGTATTCATTAATGTGGCAGTACTTGAAAACTATGTATTCTCTTTACAGAGGTAGGATCAATTATGTAAAAAATGTGTAATATTAATGCAATGTAATAGTGTGTGTAATGTTTATTTTCTTTTAGGTGCTGTCAAAATGCATAAATTTTCTAGATTACGGAATTTATTGCTGCATCAGATGTCATCTTTTCCTACTACCAAAAAAATTGATCCTCGATTTAAGAACCCATGTAGTGAACTTCAGCAATTTATAGAAGTCCCTTTATTTAAAGATAATGAGATTCCATTTAATCCAAGCATTCAAGATATGAAAATGGCTCAGAAGCTTTTCATTCCCGACAAGGATCATGAAATCAAATTTTTAGCATGTATATCTGAGACTGAAAAATTTCCTGAACATAATTTACCAGAGGTTAGTATTTTTTATTAAATGCCTTTTACTTCAAGGACTTGTTTAAAGTCAAACACAAGATTTTAGTAATATTTTTCTGTGTTAAATATGTGCCTGACAGAGAGAATGCAATACCATAAAGATCTTGCCATAGCATTAGGTAAATTATAAGAAATATGTAACTCCATGTTCTATGCAAAGGGTCTAAATTGCAAGTTGGTTTCATGATTATTGAACAAGATGAAAGAAATAAAAAAAAAGTCCGATGGGCACACATTTGTCATTTTTTTCCTGTTTGCAGAAGTCTCTTTGTACTCTGTTTTTCTTATCAGTATAAATACCAAGTTAAATACATGCTTGTGACATTGTGCAAAAATTTTCTGATGATTTAGCAAAAAGTTTCAGTGTAGTCTAACATACTGCTGATTAGTTATACTGTTATCACATCTGAAGTGCATCAAACTCTTTATATTAACTCAAGTTTGGAGATGACGGATTAAGGAAAAGAATGGGATTTGTTATAAATGTGCAAATGCATTTAGATAGAATGCTTGGAGCAATGCATCTGAAAAATGTTGTCATGGCCCCACAGTCTATTACTGTCAGTATTCTGCAGTAAGTACAGAGAGTTTCAGATGCTGTAATAGCGACAAGAAAAATTTCCAAAATATTAGTTATAAGTAGCTGACACGCGTCATCTTCTGCAAACATTATACTTGCATTGCAACATTGTACTTTAACAAACAAACACATTATTTTGTACTTTAACATTTAACTATAACATTATACTGCAAACTTTAGTAATATTGAGACCAAAACTCTTGATGTAATGATGACAAAGGGGTATGTTTAATGATGAATCTCTTTCTGCTGGCTAATGATAGTTACAGAATGGGAGTCTCCTGGCAATATAGAAACTGAATACTACTGCAGTTATTAAATCCATATTGTGATTCAATGTAGCATCATGGTTTGATATGCCATCATCATCATCAGTCAAATTGCATTCATATAAAAGTTACTCATTAAGATATGGAATACCATTATCTGTACATTAATTTTTTATAACATTCGGCCTACTTTTTCATGATGTTGCATTTCCTCTATCAGGTAATGTAATCGAGCTCTTGGAAAGTAAAGGAAAAATTTTATTGTTTTTATAGATTTGCAGATTTTTGTTTTCATTATGGAAGGTCTCCCAGAATAAAGTTGGTAAATGCCAAGAGTATATTCTACTGCCAAAGTTATGCAAAACATATCGTGTGAGCTTATGGGGGATTCATAGTTTATGAGTTAATGTAATATTGAAAATCTGTGAAAAGAGGGTGTGAAAACTAGCTGCAGTCAGTTTTATAATGATGCCCTTATCAGAATGTTACATATGCCTTTATGCAAGCCAGCCACTCTGAAAAGGCAGAAATTTTCATAAGGGTGTCCTGGCATAAAGGCCCAGATACCTTAATGCTGGGGCATCACTACACTAGTCTAATTTTCTTTGTTTTGCTGATAAATTAATTAAACAGTATGAAATAAATCTTTATTACCTTTATCAAAATTAATTTCACTTGCACAAAGGTGTGGGCACCTTTATGTAAAAGGGCTTTGCATAAGTGTGCCTGTATCTATGGAAAATGCTGAATTAGCATGAATGTTCTTGTGCTTTAACAGAGAAGCCAGGGTCTTATTTTAGAGGTGCTGATGTTTTTGTGTTGGTTGAATTGAACCCAAAATAAAATAATGTTGTTGTTTATACTTGTTGGACGGGAACTTATGTATTGGAATAAATATGTTACTATTTAATGTGATAATGTAACTAAACCTTATTTTTGACCAAATAATAACTGTTATGCATGTTAAGGGTGGAAGGGCTTTATTTAATTTTTTCTTTAATTATCTTTCTTCTTTGGATCTGAAATAAATGTGGTGTACAAATTTAGTACAATGATTTATATCTTATCTTTGGTACTTTAAGGTAGAGGTCCTTTTAACTCATCTTAAAATAAGTCACTGTTGAGCTATGCATACCTTCTGAAAGCCAAGAGTGAACCTACTTATTCAAAGTATAATACTCTTTTATCAGTTTGCCATATTTTAATAGAATGCTCATATTTTAAGGAAGTTTGTTTTAAGTTTTTTAGTACATATGACATCCCTCTTCACTGCTTGATTGGGAAAGGGGTGAATGTTAACCTTTTTTCATATCTGCAAAAGATTAGATTTTATAATTTAATTTGACTTGCTTACAGCTTTTAGATTTTTAGATATTCTGTATATTTTAAAATGTATTACATGGCTAGATTTTAGTTAGTTTTCATGTATGCATTCATCTTTCATGCCTCAGTCATTCAGCTTTTAAGTTTTTATCATTGTGATGTGCATATTTTATTTTAATAGATTTTATGTGTATATATTCAAAATTGAAATCCTTCATCATCCGTCTTGCGCATTATATCCTTTAAGGTTATGTGCCATGGAAAAAACTAATCTAACCTAACCTTTGGTATTCTATCTAATGTTCAGATTTTTTTTTTTTTTTTTTTTTTTTTTTTTTTTTTTTTGTATTCTTTGTATCTGATTTTCTCTCAGCTTTCAACCTGGATCTTGATTTCAAATATAAAAATGCACTTTTGCTGTTAATAGCAGAATGTTTAACTCCCTAGCCCTTAGTATTTTTTCTGGTTTAATGTTTCTTAATTTTTTTTAACATTGGCACCTACAAGCACATATTTTTTCTTCAAAGAGAGAGGAAGAAAATTATGTAAATAATGAACTAATAATAAATATAATTAATTAAAATTTTGAATTATTGGCAACTTTTCTGCTTTCCTTGAGAAGCCAGTTAAAAAATTAGAATAACTTAAAGTTGATTTTCTTTTTCTTTGATTTCATTCAATGGTATTCTTTTGTAATTTGCTAGCGTGTCACATCCTGGTATTTATATTTTTATTACATATGATGTGCCAACAATATTTGCATGTGTATAGGAAAAACTCGTTAAACTAGAAGTATTTTTAATTTATGCAAATAATGTTAAAAGTTAGACTGATATTGAAGCTTGCTATTGATTTTTGGAATAAAAATTTTATATAAGATTCAGTGAATAAGATCTTAATTTTGACGAAAAATATATTGAGCTATACTTGTCACATAATCTGTTAACCTAAGAAGCTTCTTTTAAAACTGATATTTCATTTTTTGTTAAGTACAAACACAAACATTTTAATCTTCAATTTGTGTATGACCCCTGAATATGATATCAAGCTTTAGTCAGTTTTTATCATACAAGAGTCAAACATTTTTTGTTTTATTTTTAGAAGTATGAACTTTAATGAATATAACTGTAGGGACAAGAAATTTCACACAAAAAGTTATGTTTCATAATTTTTACCAATTTTTTTTTAATTTAGAAAATGAAATAACATAAATATTTTTCTCAATTTAAGCATTTTCTGTAATTAGGAGGGTACTTACATATTAATGCAACCACCTTGGCGATTTTTTACAGATGAAAATGGAAAAGTTATTTATCAAGTGCAAGTTGGTCATTTCCGCAAATTTTCTCAGAGCTTCCCAAACTATTGATATTTATCATAGGTTGGCAGACATTATCAACATATGGAAATGAAATTACCTTTAGCAATATAAAACACAGATTTTAAATATTAAATTAGTATTACATGATTTATTAAAAAAAATAAACCATTTACATTCTTCACCAAATATTTACGTAATTTTCTTGCGCTCTTCTTTTCTCCAAGGGCACAGTAATGTGTTTTCACTTAAAAATGCATCAAAGATGCACAGATCTGGCATCGTGCAGATCTCAGGAGTACTGACTGTGTACTAAACTTACCTCCTTGTTACTTCCTTTAGACATTTTGCTCCAAAATTCTCCATTCCTGCAGCTTCTTCCATTGCTTGAAAATTCCGCAAGCATATATTTTAAAATTAAGTGGTAAGCAAAAAAGGTCATGATTTGTTTACAAAAACCGTTGGTATTTGGAATTCAACAAAACGAACGCATACAAAAATGGTGATACGGCTTAACTGAAGGATTGTTATCAGCATGATTTCCAGAAGAATGGTTATGCGCATGGTTGCCAGAGTTTGCCACATTCTGAAATTCTTCTACTATACTGGTACTGATAACTCATATGTACCATTAGAAGTAATACAAGTATGTCTGTAACCAGTGGTTGTGGACATAATGATCTCATAATGCTCAGTACTGTTATGGATACAGTGTCCCTCTCTCTCTCTCTCTCTCTCTATATATATATATATGTACAAGTGAGAGACACTGTAATATATGATTTATTTAATTGTTGATAACTTAATATTATAAAAGAGCTTGATTAGGGAAGGCACCAATTCATGTTTTAATTACAGCCAAGATAACTTTGCAGGTGATATCTGTGATAGACAAATGTTTTGTTGCATAGATGAAATGACAGACTTATAGACAGATGGGACTGAGCTCAACATAATTTTATTATAGGATGAAACATTTCTGGAAACACAGTATTTGCTTCACACAAGATATCCCCACAATTTTGAAAACTTAGCCTGTCTTTAGACAACAGACAATACAGCGAACTGAGCACTGCATGCAAACTAAAGCAAAGTGACAAAAGAAAATGCGCAGAAAGCAGCTGAAGTATTTATAACTAGGAAATTCTTTCTTTGGGTTCTGGATAGCAATTGGGAAAATTTAAAGATCTATTGGCAATTAAGTATCTTTCAAGTTTTATATTTTACACACACATATATATATACACACACAGAGAGAGAGATGCATATACTGTATGTGTATATATGTACTGGGTAACTGTAAATGTCAGGCATGTTTGGCATCTGTTGTAACATTCAAGCTGCTGTACACCATTTGTATTCATGTCCAATAAACGTTTCAAATTAATGGTTCTTGTTTCTTTTACCATCTTTTACTTCTGTTACCAGTATACCACTGACATTTCCGGGCATGGGTTCCTATGAAATTCTTATGATGTGCCCTACCTCCC